TCGCCAGTTTATAGCGCGTTTTCCACTCTACAAAATCCGGTATAAACAATATCTCCACTATACCTCCTTACTGAGTTGAAAAACGTTTTTCATCTCATGTCAGTAAATTATCAAACTTTTTAAAAAAATATTTTTTGAGGAACGACCATAGTTTCAAACCAAGAATCAAATATGGTTAGATGCGCAATAAAATTCTCTATCGAACCTCCTATTCAGCTTTTTGATACTTTCAGATTTTTAAATCCGACAGGGTCCTTTAACAGTGTTGCAAAATAATAATATCAATAACAATGAACTGTAATTCTACCATCGGATCGCATTCTACCAAGAGTCCGTGAGCAGAAACCAACACGGAAGCAGTAAAAGTGCTGAAATAGAATCATCTTAGAATTTTCTTATTACACCATTGGGTCTATTGTGTAGGGGAGAAAACGTATTAGACGCTAAAAAAACGATCTTAACTACCACCAATGCCTGCACATGTGCCGCACTACAATCGCACATGCACCATTCAATGCGCATTGACGAGTTCTCTCGAACGACATATGACACTGGTGCTTTTCACCTAAGAAATAACGTTTCCTTTCGTCAAAACCCTAAGGATTCAACAATAGAAAATCTCCTGATTCACAGTCGCCACTGCACCAAGTGTCGGGAAAATATTATATTCATAGACAATCTATATTCTTCTATCGAATGCACGTCTCTGCATTTTTTTCTAAAATGTCCACACCTGTCGACTTTAGGGGGGAGTGGCATAGAAAATCCTAATTTTTAAACATATGCACATTCCTTCTTTCGCTTCTTTTCTTGTAAGATGCAGAATTTTATTTTTTGCTCTTTTTGCCGTGGTTGGACAGAGCAAATCGCGTTGAACTTAATCCCCGAATTTTGGAACACATTTTTCAAAAATTAATGAAAATAGGCAAAATTTTGAGTAGAAAACTCAAAATTCAACTATTCATTCTATTTTTAAAATTCCAAAATAATTTCTTACTCTCCATCAAAAACTGGGTCTGAAAAACAGCCTTTGAAAATTTTAAAACTCAAATTGCCTTCGAGAACCGTTGAAGACGAGCAGGATGGTAAAAAGCCCGTTGATCCATCTTGTAAACTCATCTAGTCCTAGGATTTGGAAGATAAAATTTTCTTTCATACTTCATTCTAACTGATATACTTATGAACGAAGAATGTGTGTGTACCGGTAATAAAAAATTTTACTTTGTTGTCGAAAAATTTAATTTTTTATGAATTCAGTGAAGAACTCTTTGAAATTGGGACTGTCCTTTGCCATTTTCTCCGTCAAAATTCAGTACTTTGATAAAATTCAGGTCATATTCAGAATCAGGATCAAAAACTGGGTCGAATGACATAAGTCTCAGGAATTTTGAATGACCTCGAAGTTTTTCGTTTTTTCAAAAATCCGAAATCAAAATTTTCACTCAAACTTGATGTTTTTTAAAAGTGTTTTAAATTATTTTGTCGACTGAAGTGAGCACCAAAGTGTGTCTCGAAACCCGTATCGTACTTTCTATAATTTGCTTATACATTTGAATAAATATTTTTTCTTCTTCTCTGTTAGATATTTTTTTAAAATATTAGTATACTGTACCCACACACTGACTTAAAAATAGTTTTTCACTCAAACTCCAAATATTCCCAAAATCCTGAGACCCATGTCATCTAGGCAACTTCATTTTATTTTAAGTATAAGTGAGCACTCAAGCGGTCTACTTTAGTAGTCGCATTTGCTGCATGTTCAAAAAAAACCTCTCCTGAGGTAAAGGAGCAAGTTCTCCCTCAGCAAGAACTGCACTGGTTTTACTCATGAGAGAAAGAAAGAGAAATAATCCTTTAAGTTTAGGAAAAGCAGTACTTAATCAGCAAGTGTTTTACTCTGTTAGCACTTGCTAAGGAAGAACTGCAGTGTAAGTAAATACTAGATGCAGTTCTTACGGAGGCAGTGCTCCCGATCACATAATATAATCGTACAACGCTTGATTCTACTCTGTATTTATAGCGGTATTTATGAGTGACGAAAGTTAAGCAGAAACCGTTAAGAGCATTTTCGTCATACTTGACGGAACTTTCGTCACGTTACTGAATTTTCGTCATAGCCACAAGCAACACTTCGAAGTTCATGGAAACTTTCGCCACCATGCTTTTTTCTGAAAAACACACTTTCGTACAAACAAGTGCATTAGAGCCGGTGTGTGGACGAAAGTTTCGATGAAGTAACAATCTTTCTCATACATCATCAGTTAATTTAATAAACTGGTTTTATTCAAAGGTGAAAGGAGAATATGATTTCATTATAAAAAGTAAACACTAACATTACACCATTTCGCATGTTACAGTATTGTCCTTTATATTTTCGTGTAGTAATAGCTGTTATTCTATTCAAAACAGAAGCATTATGAATTTTTAAACTGTTTGACTATTACAAAAGCGATTACTGTTGATCTTGTTTGGTTGCATCATCGATCTTCTTCTGCACATGAGGAAAAAAGTGTCCTTTCAGTTTTTCTTGTAATTCTTTTATTTTCCAATCATTTCCCGTCACGTTACCTCGGCAATTTTCTGCTCCACATAAACATTTATCAGCCAATCTCCACGTTGGATCTGCTTCGGTCATTACATAATCATACGTAATCTCCTCACCGCTCTTTATATATCTACTAGCTACCAAGAGATCGGGATTTGTGTACCATGTATTACCGCAGCATGAATGATTTATATAATCTTCAATTAATTCAGATTGAATCGGTTCTAAATCGGGATCAAAACCACAATGCAAATCATCTGATACTTGGTAACATAAACTAAGAAATTTTAGACGTTTATCATCAGGTAAGGCATCAATTTCTTTACGTGTTAGAAATATATCGGTATGCTTCTCATCATCAGGACGTTTCCACCAAATATGTTCATCTTGTTTTATATCGGCGGCTGCAAACCAACAATGACCGTGAATTCCAGTTGACTTTATTTGTACCTTTGGATTCAATGGCATTTCTATTCACCTTAAATAAAATATGTTTTAAGTAGGTAAAATTGAATAACTACAATGAAAATATTCAATTTAATTGTATGTCTTACTAGTTCCAGTTATTCGTTAAATGTAATGTCGTGTGTAATGTTGTCAGAAGCACGCATACATCTAGTGAGAAAAAGAAATACAATAAGCACATAGAACAGCATATGTAGTTTTCTAACTGTCCTTATCTTCTGTCATTATTTTGCACTTTATATTTTACTAGGTTCGGTACATTGTAAAACGAAAGACAAAGAAATGTCACCTTCATAAAACTAAATGATATTCTACTACTATTCACATTCTAAAAAAGTCCGTCTTACTGCAGTATCGGCTTAACTTTTTTTCTGCCGTGTTATTTTTACCGTCTAAAGTGCGAGAAATCACTCACCTCTTTTCTTTCGTATTGATTACTTATATACAGAAAACAGAGGATGTGATGAAATACACTTAGAATGGTATCATTTTTCTCTTCTAAAATATTACTAACGGCTAGATTGAAACTATTGAATCACTCTGATGAGCTTATCTTAAAATTCGAACTACTATGTAATATAAGACGAAAAAATTTATTGGCATAAAATAAAACCCCATAAGTTGGTTGACAATTAGTGGCATACTCAGGTCTCAAAATAAGGCGGATGCCGATAAGATCGATCAAAAGGTCTTATTTTTAAAACTTATGTATGCGACTAATTGTTAACCAATTTATGGGGTCTTATTCTAAGGCTCACTTTTTTAGAGTGTATAGTAGAATAGAATGAACGTAAATATTCTCCCATTAACTTGAGAACAAAAAGAGCTAGACAAGTCGGGTTTTCACCATTTTGAAACCGAGACTTTGACGCATTCTTATGTAAGAAGACAAAATTGAAGCTCTTTTCAAAAACAAAGTTCTCAGTAAACCTCTGGAAAACTATTGTCCATTCAAAAAAAGAATAACCCATGACTGTTTTTTTAATAACTGAAGAACGGAAGCACTTAGCGACCTGTGGGACATAGGCCTATATAAAACATAATGAGTCTACTGGTGAAAATATGTGTTACTTACGGCTTTAAATTTTAGTGAAAACTGCAGTAAAATATACCTAGTCTTGAACATTAACCGCGGAAGACAACTGATTCAAATGTCAGGTATACGTTGAACCATACCTCTTCTTTATTCGAACTCAGCAAGATAAAATCTTGAAGTTGTTCTGTTGAAAAAGAAGACCTTCAGCGATAAAAAGGAAGTTGAAGGTTTCGAAAAAAATGTTGGTTATTTGATGGCTTTTGGGAAATTTACTCAAAAATTCCCAATATGTGTTTTATATAATAGAATAATTTTTACATAGGTCTACGCCCCACAGTTCGCTCTTTCTGATGGTGAAAACCGCAGGTCGCTAGGTGCTTCCGTTCTTGAGTTATTAAAAAAATAGTCATGGGTTATTCTTTTTTTGAATGGACAATAGTTCGTATCCTAAAACGTTGATATACAGATGCTGTCCTTTTCTTTCATAGATAGATAACCTAAAATGTTCTAAGGGACATGCGTAATCCACACAATTAATCTAATGATAATGTTTATGATAAGAAATCGAAAACCGAGCGAAAACTGAGTTTTAGAAATATTACAGTTTCTCGACTGTTTTCATCTGCTGTTGCAAAATTAAAACTCGCTCAAAAAACATCAGAATCGCTTAAAAATTTCTATACGATTGAAAAATTAATCGTAACATAGAGAGACTGCTTGAAAACCCTACTTTTAGAAAAGTAATTCAATTTTTCTTCTTACATAAAGATGTATCAAGATTTCGGCATCCTTTTGTTCTCGAGTCAATCGAAAAACACTAGCGCTGATTTCACTTAAGACAGTCAACAAGCTCTGTCACTATATCTTGATAATGAATTCAAACGGAAAATTTGTTAATAAAAAACTATTTTGCTTAAAATTCGAGATTGTCGGGCGGCTTCAATTGCAGCCAGAATCCACATATAGCATATCATATCGTAGAATAAAAAGTCTATCTTAAAGTGCGAGTCCAGTACTCTACATTCGTTAAAAATTCAAGGAAGGATGCCTTTTAAATTAAGGCTATTTTAGTTAGCTAACTTGTGCAAAAATCCCGAAAATTTCTAACATTTTTCCGCTTTCGTTGAAAAGAAAAAAATCTTCATAATGCGATAGAATAGATTATATGGTTTGAACACGGATACATAAATATATATTTATAAAGAGGAACAATACAGTTCAGCTTTAAATTTTAATTACATTTTTCGTTATGGCTTTTCGTATATGAATGGATGTTTGATTTAAAACACTAGTAGTGATGTTTGCTGTTGATGCTGTTGATAGTAAAGTTGTAGATGTATTGGTTGATCATCGAGTTGTGCCAAATGTGTCTGCTTTTGGCCTAACTGTCGATATCAGGTCACTACTACCGATTAACGTTGAAGATAGCATTGGTATCTCGCCACTGACGGCACCGTTTTCATCTGTTAATGTTGAAGTTGTTGGTATCGTTGTATTAGGAGTACAATTTTTACTTGTCATTCTAGACGTTATTACTAGGATCTCGTCACTGGCTGCATCAAAATAAGCAGTACTACGGTGAGAAGGTAATAACTGAGTGTTTGACAATATCGTCTGATTAATTTGTGGTTCATCAGCTGAAGTAATGCGATGATGTGTGTGATCTTTTACGCGAGCTTTTTTTGCAAATTTTGTTTTTCGTTTGGCTGGTGAAAAAATTGTTTTGGGGGCGGGATACCCCTCCGACCTTTAAATTTATTTTCTGTTACACTTAATCACTCATTTGCATTCTGAGTACCGGTGAATGGTTCAAAATTTTGTATAATAAAGGTATTGAAATCGTTTTCTTGTTGAGTTGGATTATTGTGGTATTTATTATGATTTGACGTTGTTTCATTTGCATCTGATTCATTTGAAGTGATGAGAACGCGCCATTTTCTTACCGCATAGTCTGTTCATTTTCTCTATTTTACAAAATATGTTTTTCTCTCTCTTACGAAGAATAACTATTTCTTTCTTTCTCTTTCTCCTACTACAAAAGAATTGTACTCCCTATGTTTATTTATATAGTAAACTTATTTTTCTTAAATAAAGCTTTTTATAAAAATAAAGTCGACGTTTCAAAAATTGTAGCTTTCATTAGTAAGACAATAGAGATGGCTAACACGATGTAAAGTTAAAACAAATATGATTATATAAATAAACATAGGGAGTACAATTCTTTTGTAGTAGGAGAAAGAGAAAGAAAG